CCGGGCGGGGGGGGTGGGGGGGTGGGGATTAATATGACTGACATCAACCAAAGTACTCTAACTGATGCCCAGGGACTCATTCTCCCTTAAGTAGTTCTTACAGCATTTTAATATGTAAAATTCTGTCAACTGCCATCTCTATGATGATTATCAAACCAATAGCTTTCTTGAATTTCTAGATAAACGTTATCTTCTGTGGACAGGATTAAGCCATTTGATGTATCTTTAGCATGCTACATGTTAGTAATGAAGTATTAACACTCATGAACCTAACCAAAAATTTCTAGGAAGTAATTTCTATAATTACCAACTAATTTTCTTTGTACCAGGTGATTTCTGGATTATATTATGATCTGTCTCGTGCCTTTGCCATGCTTGCATCCAGTGATGACCTAAGCTATCAAGAAGTATCAAGACAAGAGACATTTTATGCTGATTCTGAGAGTGAGGAAACAATCATGGCTAGAGGACTGACATCACTGATGTCTGTCAATAACACCTGTGAGCTTAAGTCCTTCGACATAGTTATTCATAACTCCAGAAAATGCTATAGCATGGAGAATAGCTCCAGAGGAACTGGAACAAAGTTGTCCATGTGTGAAATGCCCAGTCATGGAATTTTCATATCTGGTCCGAAGTTATTCATGGATGTATCTTTTAGAGGAGGAAACATGGATATTATAATTGATTTATCTGGATTTCGATCTATGATTTTCAGATATCCTGCTGAGTTTGAAGAAAGCGTCCATAAATCTGAAATCAACAATCTGTTGCGCTCTCTAAATTTCTTAATTGAAGCATCAATTTCTCATATCCAATTGTGTTTCTTCTTGAGAACCCTTAAGAAAGACTTGCCACATGCGAGTTTGAGCACAGCAATAGATGAACCTAATTCTAACAGTAATGCTTTGTGCATGTTGGGGCATTCTCCTATGGTTACGAATACTGAACAGCTTGGAGATCATCCTGTACTTGCAACTATTGCTCTTTCTGAAATTTATGTGTCTAGCTGCCCAGTAAAGGATATATTGGCTAGAGAACACAAGCCAAATAAACTGAACGCATCTTTCTCTGTTGGGGAAGAATTCCAGACAATCTCTTGTGATTCCGAGGTACAATGTCTGCTTATGTATAAGATAGTTTGTTGTTAATTTTGCCATTACAATGTCTGCTTATACATTAAACTGTCCATACGTTATTTATTTATTTGAAATGCTACTAACTCGGTTACTTCTGTGTACTTGTCAACTTCTAATTAATGGATTCATGTATGTTATGCTCCAACAGGGTGGTTTTTTGTTACTTGAAGCCACATCTGCAACTATGTTTGCTGAATGCTGTAAATCGTACTACAACCGAATTTTTGATCTTTGGCCTTCTGGTTCATCCCCAGGAAGGGTAGTTCCACAGTATAGTGAGGATAAGACTGTTCTAGATGTGCGCTCAAGTATGAATTCACGGCAACTTCAGCATGTAACACAGGATCATTTGGAAGAATTTTCCTTGAATATTTCACATTTGTTTCTCATATTTGTGTCCAATGATGAATCTGGTAATATCTTCTGCTGATGTTATAAATTTTCTAATAGTAATCGAATGTAATTTAAGTAAACCCCCTATGCAGGCAGACTTCAGGAACTTCTGCTTGAGGTTGACTTTCATTTGAACCACAAAGTATTGAGCACGGTGAAAAAAATTTCACTTGGTGTTTCTAAATTTTCTATGCTTTCTCAGTACATACATGTGACAGGACAGAAACCCAGGGATATTCAAATTCATGGCTTTTCTCCTGGCACGCTTGATGATCCATCCCCCAACTTGATATCCGACAGTTTACCAGTGCTTGAGCAGAAAGTTACAGTTCACTCTGTTCTTGCTGATACGAGTCACTCAAGTCCTTCTTCCTCTCAGAATGATATTCGTATTGGTAGTTCTGGGGGATCACTTATTAGTGACTTTGAACAAAAAAATGTGCACTTGAGTTCTCAAAACTACATACTGAAAGAATTTCAGTCCTTCCTAGCAGCTGAGTGGCCCGTATCGGGAGATCAATTCTGTCCTAATAAACTTTGGGTTGGGAGTGGTTCTATATCAGGTTTTGATTTGACCATCTCTCTGACTGAAATAAAGGTAAGCAATCTCATTATGAGCTTGTTTGGTAGGGATTATTTGTGGGAAGAATTGATTTTGAATAGTGATACGATGGGAAATGTGTGGTTGAAAAAGAAGAAAAAATTATTGATGTGATGGAAAATATTATTTTATTGAAGAATGTGTGGTTGAAAATGAGAATTGATTTACTGTAGAAAATGAGAATCCCTACCAAACATGGCCTATATACGATGGGAAATGTGTGGTTGAAAAAGAAGAAAAAATTATTGATGTGATGGAAAATATTATTTTATTGAAGAATGTGTGGTTGAAAATAAGAATTGATTTACTGTAGAAAATGAGAATCCCTACCAAACATGGCCTATATTTATTGATATTCATCGAAAAAGTCTGAAAGCTATCCAAGATAACACATTTGTCATTCATTCTTCTCTTTTAACTTGCATAAATAAAGGAGGAGAAAGGAAAAGATGCTATTTATTTTTGTTGAAAGTATTCATTTTGACCATTTTATATCTATTACCTTTTTAGAGAGAGAATTGTTTTCCATTAGTATAGATACTGCTAACCGTCTTTGGGTTCAAGTCCCAGTGTCATTAATTTATTACATTGTGCATGTGTTAGGCTTTTGATGGGAAAAATGAATCCTGCCTCATGAGGGGTTGTGTTGACTACATAGTTTAAATACATAATGTGCCCCTAATAATCGTTTGTCTTCGACATGGCCACTCTTGTGTAGACTGATATAATTTTTTCTGTCAAAGACCTAACACATTCACTTTTATTAAATGAGTGGCAATTAGACTTGAACCCAGGTTTTATGGGTGGCCTGATTCCATGTCTTGAACCCAGTTTTTTTGGTGGCCTGATTCCATGTTAAGTATCGCATCTAAAAGCTTAATGAGTTGGTTAAAATATACGTACAAGGACGCAGAGTTTCGTTGATAAGGAAATTAACAAATGAAACAAAAGAAAAGACACATTCCATAATATCATTCACAGATTTTATGAAATTTCTCCTGTAATCTAATATAAGTTTATGGGCAAAATGATAAAGTATAATTTGATGTAGTATTATACAGTCCGCACTAAAGTTGTCTCAAGTACTTACAGTTTCTCTTAAATCACTGATTTTGTGATGTTTTTGGAGCCTATGCATGCTTACTGCATATGAGACTGAGGAAATTTTAAATGGACAGGTTTTAATTTTGATTTTTTTTTTTGTGCCAGATCATAATTTCTGCTTTCGAATGTTTCTCTGAGGTTTTTATCGGAGAGAAAACTTCCAAAGTGGAACAGAGGCACTGGTCTAGTGACCAAGATTCTGAAGGAAGTGCTGAAGAAATGGTTGCTGATGGTATTTCTATATTTGTCTGTCTTTTGAGGTAAATTAGCTCTCTTTTTTCTGAACATTGGCTGACAACTTACGCAACTTGTATAGGAACAATTGTTGCAATCCAAGATGTTGACCAACACATGTATATTGCAGTTGAAGATGTTGAAAGTAGATATGGTATAATTGGTGCGACTCATTATTCGCTAGTGGGAGAGAGATCCCTTTTCAGAGTAATACACCTTAACTTCATTCTTAGTGAATGTGTGGGCAAGGGTAGTATGCTAATTCTTTCCGGCTAATATCGGCTTTGTTATCAGTAGCTTTAATAGATTGCTTATGCTGAATTATGTTCAATTGTAATGAGTTTTACTCCTATATCTATAACCATAAATCCATATTAATGTCTACATCTTTTAACCTCACATATAGTTATGCACGAATATTTAAATACTTTTTTTTTTGATAGGTAATCACGTAATTTTATAAATTAAAATCAAAAAATAATACACAAGGAGTGCATTATCAGTTTAAACAAGATAGAAACGATAAAAAAAATCGGCAACCCTTCTATCGAACTAATGGTTATAGCCTTAACCCAACTATACAAAGTCAAANAACAATTCTCTAAATTGCTCTGTCGTCCGTATTTGGTCTTCAAAGCATCTGCCGTTTCGTTCTCTCCACACACACCAAACGATACATCCTGGAATGAGATCCCAAACAAGATTGCTATTCTTATCTCGAAACTTTCTCTTTCATCCCCACACCACCTCCTTGATACATCTTGGCAACACCCAACTCATATGTTGCTAAGCCAGAATATCATTCCACATCTAACGAACGCCGTCACAATGAATGAACAAATGATCCATCATCTCGCCATCCCTCTTACACATATAGCACCACTCCGTAATACAATAGCCTTTCTTCGAAGATTATCCGCCGTTAACACCCGTCCCCTCATCACCGTCCACAGTAAAAAGACCACCCTTAGAGGTAATTTACTTTACCGGACCCTTTGTCAGGGGAATAAGCTCTCTACAGGTTCCAATGAGGATCATTTAAACATGGTTCATGTGCTCTATTTGAAAATTTTGCAACCATCTTTGTGCATCTGCATTGGAAAGTTCTTTCTATTTTGCTTTCCTAGGTTTGTTTGCATATACTTTCTTTACTACTAATATCTTGTCTTGATATGGAACTCTACTTGATATATATTATTATTATTATTAGTTCATGGCGTTTCTAAGCACTTCCCCAACTTACTGAAGATTATTTTCATTGACTTCTCCTGATATTTCGTTTAAAAAGTCCTGGTTACAAGAATGAATGATTTTATGCTTCCCACACGGCCACACCTCTTTTCTCATTTGCATCCATCCCCTCCCACCGTTGAGTATAATAATAATTTTTATATTTTGTAATCTTTTGGTTATCCCCTAGTTCTAGAGTTGGCTAGGTACCTTCATGCTCATACCTAACATTTCACATCAAATTATACCATTCAGGTGAAGTATTATAATGCAAGGAGATGGAAGTCACGAGTTCAGTATTTTTCATTGATTTCATTATATGCTAAAGATAATTCTGGGGAATCATTGCGATTGAATTGCCGTCCAAGACAGGGTTTTGTTGACATCTCCTCTTCTAATGATAGTGGGTGTGCACTTTGGGCAGCACTTCCTTATAGACCTGACCACTATGGGGATGATGTCGAGCTGGAATCTTTTCATCCTCTGGTTAGAAGTACATTTCACCTTGTGAACAAAAAAAATGATTATGCTGTGGCTTTTATTGATGGCGTCCTTGAATTTGTCTGCAAGCCAGGAAATTTGTTTAAGTGGAAAGTGTTTTGTGACCCTTCTCCAGCGAGTAATAGTTTGTTGCCAATTCGATATTTAGGGACCGGATCTGGAACTAATCTACAATATGATTCAAATGCAAACAACACTAGAGAGTTAAGGGAAAATGGGAACCTTTCTGGTATTACAATTACAATAGACAAGGTTACTCTGACCGTTCTTCACGAGCTTTCAGATACAGTGGAGAAGTTACCGCTCCTCCAGGGATCAATCACTTCTTCTGAAATCATTTTGCAGATCTCAAACACAAAAGTGAGGGTCATGAACACAATAGGAGTAGTGTTGTATTACTTTGATGCCCAGCGAAGCTCATGGTAAGTGTTTCACGGTTCAATGGTGCATGGGTTTGCCGTTTACGTCTTATTTTCTTGATTTCGTTTCAGTAACAATGATGTATCTTCTAAGTTTTCATTTCATGAATTTTTTTATTTACTTTTCAATTTCACTCATGACTTCAGGAGGGAGTTTCTTCATCCACTTGAAATCTGCAGTTTCTACACTTCAAAGTTTCTTATTCCTGGATCAGACAATGTTTTGCAGAGAGTACAAAGTCATTTCTATGCTAGAATTAAAGAGGTTTTGATCATGCTGTTGAGTCGTTTTCTGATTCAGTTATTGTGTAGTTTTCACTATTAATTTTTTGCTGCGGTATTGCAGGCAATCGTATCAATGAATGAGCTTTCGTTGGACATCATTCTGTTTGTGATTGGAAAATTGAATTTGGCTGGCCCTTATGCCGTAAGGAGCTCTGTAGTTTTGGCCAACTGTTGCAAGGTTCTTAAATCAATTATTTATACATATATCTGGGTTATATGAAGTATCTTTCTTCAATAAATTTGCACTTTTGAAAATCTTATTTGTTTGGTGTTCTGTAGTTCTGTTATTTTTTTAGTTAATGCTGTACGCTCTTTTTCCCTTGATAGATACCAAGTTCAAAGGGAAGATTTATGAGACACTATTGAGTGATAGCGTCTGCCAAGTTTTATATTTTTTCAGTTAACTTTTTGGGGCTGATGGGACGTTAAAGAACAAAATGTCCATAATATGAACATGATAGATGTGTTGCAAATCTTGGTTTTCATTTTCGTTGTGATGGACCTGAAAGAGGTGGCACGTGTCATGTATGAGCTTGTGATCTTGTCTTAGAACTCTTATTAAGATAATTGTTTGGTCACATTAGAATGGACAAAATATGAAATGAAGCTATAAACCAATAATTTGAGGTGTACAAATTGAGGATGAATTTAGATATGACGAATAGATGGTCGAGGCATTTAGATATGACAAATAGATGGTCGAGGCAAGCCTTGGGTAGCCTAAAGAAGCTAAAGAGTGATATAATTGCAACAGAATATGAGAGAAGAGAAAGGGCTAGACCAAAGTTAATATGACCTTAAATGGTAACAAAAGATTCTTTAACCTTTGAGAGGAGGTAGCTCTAGATCGAGCGAAATGGAGAAATAGGATATATGTTGTTGGGATACCAACTTCATTTAGAACAATGTTTAGCTTCTGTTGTTTGTATAATACTGGAGTAGCATGTGTAATCTTATGCATGGATCTTGTTTCCTTTGATCTCCTTGTATGCAATATTATATTAATTAAGTGTAGTTGTTGCATCATTTTAAGACCTTTGCCAACATTCTTTAGCATGTAAACTTTTCTGATAGAGGAAAAAACTAAATCACTAACACGCGCATTAATAAATTTGATGAAAGGGCCCGTTTGGCGTGGTTTTTCCTTTTCCTTTGGCTTTTGTTTTTGCTTCCTGTAGGAGTTTTTGGAGGAAGTTATCTTAATTTTAGTTTGAAAACTAATTTTTATAAGAGTTTTTTATTCCGAAAGTACTTTTAGAGGAATGCATATTGGACCAGCTTTCTACAAAAGCTCTTCTAAGATAATCTTCAAGCGACTCTAATTTCAAAAAGTATATTCTACAATTTAGATAATTTTTATAAATTTTGGCGAGTAAAAATTTTTAAGTACTTCAACAGACTCTTTATATTTAACACTTAATTTTATTATTTTAAAAAAATATTTATTATTTTTCCCTATCTTTTATTTTCACTAGCTCCCCTTCAAATTATTATATTATTTTCCTCCATTGAAAATTGAAATACTTTGAATGCATTTAATTATAGAGAGTGGGTATGACTCTCCAAATTTAGAGAGTCGAACTCACTCTTTAAATTAAAATGTTAATTTAAAGAGTCTTTTGGAACGTAATTTTAAAAGCCGTCTCTTTAAAATAGAGCATCTTATGAGTAAAGAGTCTCTTGAGATGTTCTGACCAAAAGAAATGCTTTCATAAAATTAGGCAAACAGGTTCAAAAGCAGTTTTTGTATTACAAATGCTCCTTTTGACTTTTCAAATCCATGTCAAATGAGCCCAAAGTAATCTATATCACCCTTGATTTGAGTAGCCCGTTGAACCCAAATATAAAATTAAAAAACAAATGTTCTATTACATACAGATTAATGTTAGATACCTTTTGTGTTGCCCATTTGTACCTTGTCTATTTTGAAGTTATGAAGAGGATATCTCTAAAAAGAAAGAGCGTTTCGGTTTCTGCATCTGTTTTTAGTGCAGTGGTCTGTGGAAAATAGCTGTAATTTATTGTATTTGTTTATTCTATAGTTGACCTCATGGCATAGTTAAGGGAGGCATTATAAGGAAGAATCACAGGAGAGATGTTGGGCATAATTAGGTCAGAATTAGAGGAGAAATTTAGAAGGTTGTCTGATTTTCTTTCTTATATATTTGTTGTTGTAACCTTTAGAATTAATCAATGAAATATGTAAAATTTCACAAAATTCCACAATTTCACAATCAATTAATAATATTCTCTACTCAAGAAAGGATACTGAATGCTTAAATTTTCTTCAACAATATTGACAAGACCTTGCTTTTTTTGTGATTAACTTCAGCTGAGATTGCTGGTGAATGGTCATACTGAACTTATGGAACAAACTTCCAAAGAAACTGAATAATAGTCTGTATCTGTTTGAATACAATTGTTTGTTGCACCTAAAGGACTGGCTAAATACCGTGGACGAAGATCGAGATTTTTTTAGTGTTTTTGTTTCTCGGCAGAGATGTGCTATGAGTTCTTTGGTTCACAGTCTACAGAAAAATACACGGATTTGTAGGACTGAGGCATGGAAGCAGTAAGAATAAAAGTTGGTGCTGATAATTAAAATCGTCTTTCATATTGGATATATCCTTACAATTTTCTTAGTTCTGGCATTCAATCCAGACGAAATTGATGCTAATTAAATTGACTGATAAAATCTGATAGTGGCTCATTTCAGATGAACTAGTGCAATCTAATGCAGAATCCTTCTAATTCATGAACTTAAGGTTTTCTTTTAAGTGCATCAAAAAAGTTAGACTATTACCTCAACTAGTGCATATGCTTTCATAGCTTTAAATATTATAGGAATCAATTGTAGTATTACTCAGGTGAATAATGTAAGAACGGAAAATTATGTTTATTTCTTTTGCTGCCTGTTTTTACAGTAATGTATGTATGCTTTTGGGGAACTTAAGACGCTGTTGATTGGAATGTTCTGCACTTCACAGGTCGAAAACCAGTCAGGTTTAACCCTACTTTGCCAGTTTTATGACAATCAAGAGGTGTCAGTATCTTCAAGACAGTCAACAACAATTTTCTTAAGGTACTCCTCTGTACCATTAGATTGCATTAATTTCAAGCAGACATTTCAGGTTTGACATTATTTATTACTGGTCTAAATTTAGATGTTTTCTGTGATTATTTCTTATGGATGCCATGCTCTTTCCGTTTCCCCTTTAACCATGGAAATGGAAGGTCAATAATATATTCATTAGACTAAATGAGTTGGCAATAACTTCGTTATTTGCAGTTTCTTACACAAGAAATAAGTTTGATATTCATTAGTAGGTTATTGACCTCTTCATATTCTTTATCTAGATTTTTGGGTGCACTTTTTGATGAACCACCAGGGAACATTATTAGTTGAATTGACATAATGTACTAGTGTTTCCCCTGATTTTGATGGACATTACTTGGATTTGAAATATCAAAAGAATAATTAGGAAGGTGAATTAGTATGCAGATTTAAAAAAATATTATTCAAAATATAGAGGCTTATCTACCATATGAAGCACTGATATATTATTAGTTTTTAGTATTGGTATGCAGATTGTAAACTTAAATCAAAGTCGGGGACTTTCTACCATGAAAGTCGCCAATTAAAGAGACGGGAAAACTTATTTACTCTCACTTTCCCTTTCTAGGGAGTTAGTTCAATTTTAAATAAGGCTATTGAAGACCTTTGAATTGTTAGTTTGAGAGTAAAAGGTAATTATACTTGGGCCTTTTTCTATTATATTCTTAAGCTTCTATTATTTGTCATATTTCACAATCCTCTTAAGTGTTTAAAGGTACTTTTGCAAATTGCAGAAATTCTGTTATCTTTTCACAATTCCCTAGGACGTCTATGGGTCAGACTAGGTTTTGTTAATACTAGGTGATTTAGAATATTTCCATTGTCTATTTACTTAGAGATTTAATTATTGAGTTAAGAGCTCTGAATCTCCCTTTGATTGTGAGATGCAATCATACCCTTGGGACATTGTCAGAGGAGTCTAGCTGTGGTGCGTAGATTTCTTATTTTTTTCTTCTAGTTCTCTAGTCTTTCTTTCCTGTTCAGCAAGTTAAACTTTTTACCTATTGAAAATTCCCTCAAATGTATCCCAGAGCTATCCTACATCAGTTTGTCACCATCTGTGGAAATTGACATTGTTGGTACGTTTTGGACAACCTTTTATGCGAAGATCTCTACAATTAGCAAGACAAGTTGCTTCTTCATGATATGGATCCAAAAAGTGGGATCAATTATTTAGAAAGCCGAAGAAACTTTCTTGTTATATAAAAAATGAAAATCTGAAGCAATGTAATTTGTCTGTGGAGGAGAATATAGAAAAAAATAGATGAGCTAATGCTTCAATGTCCAATCACAATAGATGAATTTGTAGCATGGCTGCAATGCTTCACTCTTTTTTTTCTTGTTAAAGTTAGAATAAGCACTTTATAAACTCATGAATGAATATGTTTTCAAGGCACTTAGCTTTGGCGAATCAACATCCAGAAGCATCTTTGTTCTCAGTACAACTTTCACAGCGAGGCTTCCTTTCAACTTCTCCAATCCACCTTTCACTTTTAGAAGCTCAAAAATTTGCTTGGAGAACACGTATTGTGTCATCACAAGGTGAGCTATCCTATTTCTGTTTTGTCACATCATAGAAAATTCAATAGAAGTAATGTTTCTTGTTCTGTGTGGAAATTTTTAAACTGATATGGGTATCATAACCACTTATAGGGAATTTCAACAGAAGAAAGTTTTTGGATTTGAATTAAACATTATTTAGATACCAATAATTCTAAGAATGATTTGATAACGATACCTGTGATGTGGTAATCACCACCTTTTTGTTAGTTGAATCTTTAATCAGTGATTCTTATGGCACAGTGTGAAATATTTTGAGGAGTTCTGCCTTTGTTGCGTATTATACAATTATCACACAAATATTACTGATGAAGTTATGTGCTATGATCACACCATAGGTACCCATAAGGGCATTTTGGTATGCTAGATTGGCATAGCAACATGCCTTCCTTAAATCCTGTTCGGTCCAAACATGCCATGGGTTGATGTTTTAAAGAATGAATAGTGGCTAATGATTGGAAATTTCTAGTCTGATCTTTTCTGGTAAAAAGAGGGCAAATGTCAGGGCACGAACTTTTAATGCAAGTTTTCCTCGATATTTTTCCCTGGCAGGATGGTAGCCCGGTTTATTTTATGTGAGGGTAAATATCTAGATATTATTGCCCATGCTGTTGGAATTTTCAAGAACTTCAAGTCAAATGAAGTGTAACTATGACGATTGAGCAGAAAAAATTAGATAAAATGGTCTTTATAATGCATAACACAGTTTGGCAGTGGAAATCAGTTAGTAGAATATAGGTAGCTAGGTAAAAATCTGAATTGGACATTCTTGCGTATATGACCAAAAATTCTTTCACAACAAGATATTCATTTGTGAGACCAGCAAATTTTGGAAGGAAAGCCAATTCTACCTCTCTCATACCAACATACACGAAAGATAGAGATCCAAGATGACCTACAGATATCCCACTGTCCTTAGCCCCTGTTTGACAGCCATATTTTTCAAAAAATAGAGTTTTGAATAGTGATTTTTAGGAGAATGTGTGGTTAAAAAGTAGACAAAAGTTTTGGGTTTATGTGAAGTATATTTTATTGTGTGAATGTATGGTTGAAAATGAGTATGTAGAAAAAGAGAGTTTGAAAAGTATGGTTGTCAAACGGGCTTAATTTTCTCTGATCTCATGGTGGACATTTTGAGTATCTAACCTATGGCCTATTATTCTACCATCATTATCAATAACAATATCGAGGGATCAGTTGACATCAACCATAAATGTCTCAGGTTCAAATCCTGTCTCTTTATATTTTTCCTCAAGGTCAACTTTCCTGCAAATATATTAACATGAATATGGATTCAGGTTTTGAGTATTAATGGCATCTAGGTTGGACTGTGATGATAATAGGTCCTAGCAATTCTGCTGGTTCATTCACGAGTATGTTACTTCTTTAACTTTGAAAGTTAAGCTCTCAGGAAAATATGTTGGACAGAACTGCCATATCTTTAGCATTACCAATTAAATTTATGTACACTAAAATGGATGAAGATGAAAATCATTCTAAGTTGTGAACAAAGGAGGATCAAACAATGAAACATGAAATCCATGCTAAAACAAAGTGTTGCGATGTGCTAATTTGAAATTTGTCAACAAGCTTATATCCCTGAATAATGACTTACATGGTATCCTGTCATTTGATTATTATAACCTCTGTGCTTATTGTTGTTTTCATTTTTTTAGTTATTGTAGTAGATAAGAATTTGTTTCGGGTTGTCCATTTTACCATTTTTACCAGATTCAAAGTCTTTCCCTGGTCCATTTATTGTGGTCGAAATTTCAAGGGAAATTGAGGTAGGCATCCATCTCTTCTTTCTTGCAGTAGATATGCACTGATATTCACTTAGGAATTAATTCTGGTTTTCTCTATTGCATTTGGTACTCATAGGATGGCTTGTCAATTTCTGTCTCTCCTCTATTGAAAATACACAATGATACTGATTTCTCTTTGGAGCTGCGTTTTCAAAGGCCTCAGCACAAGGAAACTGACTCTGCTACTCTGGTGCTAAAAGCTGGAGATGTGCTCGATGATTCCATGGCAGCATTTGGTGCCACTGATTTGTCTGGTGGATCAAGAAAGGCATTGACGTCTTTGAGTGTTGGTATGCCTTATATTTCAATTACAAATTGTTCAATTGGGTATTTGTTATAAATTTGATGCTCCGGTATGTGAAAGCTACAGTAGCGACTTTTGCATATCGTTAAGCATTCTTTCTACATGTAGCTAGTGGTGTGAAGAGGGACTGGCCAGCACAGCAGGGGCATGTCCCAGGTCCTGGAACGCTCTGTCTTTACAGGTGGTGTGTTTGCATATATGAAGTGGGGCAAGAAGTTTGAGCGTGTTTCAAATACCAAGGCAATGCCAAATGTGAAATTCACTGCCTTGAGCCCCAAATCTGAACAAAATACAAATGTATTGCACCCTTGAGAGAGAAAAAAAAATACAAAACTGTAGATTAGTCTTTACTTCTAGATTCATTAGGTCCTCAGTGCCCTCACTATCTTTCCAAGATTCATAAATGGAAGAGAAGTCTCTTTGTCCACATTTACCCCAAGATTCATAAGAGCCTCTTGACTTCATGAAGTATGCTGTGGTTGTCCTTAGGAAGAGAATCTTGCATGAAAGCTAAAGGTATTCTGGTAAATAGAGGAAATATATTAGGATCAAAGCTTAGTTTATTGTTCTAGTTGCATGCATCTAGATTTTTCCCCATTGGTTGGTTGAATTTTAGATTCTGGCAGGCGTGCTGGATAAATTGTTGGAACTCACTTGTTGATTCTAAGATTGTACAGACTGATTCCTCTTACATTTCTTATATAACTGCTTAATGATAAGACAAAAATAAATTCAAATATTGTAGCAGGTGGAGGTCTAATCATAGTAATAATAATCGAATTGTTTGTTCTCCAAAGCTATCCATGTAGTTTCATTGAGCAAGGGAGATTTTGTTTGTATCAATTTTTAGTTTCTCGCCCAATAGACACTTTTTTCAATTCATTGTTTCAGGCATTCAAATAAACTTTGTTTGTCTTGCCTCGTTATGATTTTACCCAGAAATTAACTTTTTTAAGAATTGATTGGCAGGAAATTTCGTATTCTCTTTTAGACCTGATATTGCCACCAGTATGAAAAATTTTAAGAATGAAACAGTGGAATGGTCTGATGAACTTAAGGGTGGAAAACCTGTAAGTCTATCTGGGGTATTTGATAAATTGAGTTACAGGGTGAGGAAGGCATTTTATGTTGAGTCAGAGAAGTCTTCCCTGAGCACTGCACATTGTGCTCTCAAATCTGAAGGAGGTCATATTTCTGAGATACATTTTCTGATACAAAGCGTCAGGAAGGATGTACCTGTTATATGTCCAGATAACTTTGGATATGCTCCTGTAAATAAAAATCTTCCAGTTGCCCTGCAAGAACAGAAGGAAATTTTTCTTCTTCCTACAATTAAGGTCTCCAATTTATTATACACAGAAATACATGTGAATTTGACTGATGGAGGTAAGCAAAATGTGATTTGAATTTTATTTTCGTTCTTTTAATATGGTATTGTTTCTGACTCTTGTTTTTTTTTTTTTTTTCCAGATCCACTTGCTACTATGGATCATGGCTACTCGTGGAGTTGCGCAACTATTCCTAGTGGATCAACTGTTAACTTATATGCTAACCCGGCCACCATATACTTCACTGTCACTTTAACTTCCTTTGGTTCAAGTTGCAAACCAGTCAATAGTAAAGACTGGGTGAGGAAATTACAGAAACAAAAAAGTGATGTCTACCATTTGGACATCGAGTTGGACTTTGGTAGTGGGAAGTATTTTGCTAGTTTGAGATTGTCTCGTGGGCATAGAGGCGTATTAGAGGTATTTACTCTTTACCCAATTTGTTTACAGATTCTAAATTTTATATGATAAAATCTTGGTACTTTTTACAGGCTGCTATCTTTACTACATACACATTGGAAAATGGTACAGATACACCTTTGTTTTGCTTTTCTGCTAATCAGAAGCCTGTGGTTAGGTAATCAATCAATTCCCACTATTTGTTCCATACCCTTTGCATTTTGGACGTTTCTCCTTTCAAAAACAGTATACTTTTGCAGGTATGAGGTAGAGATGGCTTCCAATATACCTCCCGAACTGGGGTTGTATTTGCCTCCAAAATCAATCAAATCATGGTTCATGAAGTAAGTGCATTGCTTCTTAAGCAAGTGCTCTATATTTTAGTAAACGTGGACCTGTTTGGTGATAGAGCATGTTTGGCTAAGCTTAAAAAACGTACAAGTTTACTTAAAATCAAGTGTTTTTGGTTCTAGGTTGTGCGTTTCTTTTAAAATTTCATTTTGAAAGGTGCAACTTTATCAGCTTTAACACAATCTTGCTTATGGCAACATTACACTTTTAACTACCAAAATTGTCACGGGTAACATGCCATAATGCACATGCATTTCCATTAATTATACCAGTGGAGACTGTGGAGCCAATTTCAGTGTGAACATTGAGTGGGAGTTAGGTTACATTGCTAAGAGAGTCCCAAGTATCAGTTCTCCATGATCGAATTGCAAGGGGTAATGGTGACCTAACGGAAACAAAAACGTAACATGTGGCATACAATGAGAGGCAAAAAGAACGAGGGAGTTACTATTTACCTATAAAAAACTGACCATAAGAATTGATTTTTGTGTATATATATGGAGCCCCTTATTGATCTCTTGTTTTAAATGCTAGGCGCCACCAAGTGTGCCTCAAATTGTTAGAAGAGAAAGCATCAGAGGCACAATTGGACTTGGATTCTTTATCTGGACTTGCAGAGATTGACCTAGAAGTAGAAGAAAATTTTGGGTTGAAAAATATTATGCGGTTGGGGGTGTCTTTAAGGCCATCTGTTTCCAAAGTATTCTCAACACAATTGGTGTCATTGAACCCACGATATGTTTTATCAAATGAATCCGAAGAAGCAATCACCATTCGACAATGTTATTTGGAGGTTAGCTCCATCTTTAATTTTTGTCTCATTGAACAGGGTATTGATAAACTTCTGATTTGTGCTTTGATGACGTTTTTTATCTTATTGAAAAGGATGATATGGAAGGGTTAATTGCTATCGACAGCAAAGAGAGGATAGCATTGAGGCTAAAGGGTGGGTCGGGAAGGAAGAGAGAAACCAATGTTATTAATAGCCTTCTCAGAAAGCATACAAAATCTCGAGATGATACGTTGCTTTTCATTCAGTTCCGACTTACTGAAACTGGATTAGGTTGGTCAGGGCCAGTATGCTTGGCTTCATTTGGACGGTTTTTTCTGAAATTTAGAAGATCCTCAGAATGTTCTGAAGGGCGATCAGAGACGTGCAAACAAAATTTATATGAATTTGCAGTCGTTAATGTGGTAGAGGGAGGGCCTAGCATCATTTTACACTTCCAAAGGTCTCCAACAACTAACCTCCCTTATCGGATTGAGAACTCTCTACGCGATGCTCCTATAACTTTCTATCAGAAGGTTGAATGCACTCCTCATCTACAATGTAGTTCACAGAATTTTTGTGTTCATGTGTGTGTGTGTGTGTGTGTTTCCTTAACAATTTTAATATTTGTCAGGGTTCATCAGAACCAGAGATTTTGGGAGCTGGACACTATGTCAATTATGTCTGGGATGACTTGACTCTTCCTCATACTCTAGTTGTTCAAGTTGATGGTACTCATTCTTCCTCTTTACTCTGTTTAGTTTACTGTATGATTTATTTTAAGATGATACTTTTGCATTCTAGTTTTGATTTTCATAGATTGGATGAAGACACAGTTAACAGGAGTAAGCTTCATTTTTGTTACTGGAAAGTAACTGATAGTGAAGCTATATTTCTGAGTTTGATGGATAGCTATAGTGATGGTCAATTTGAGCACTTTAACTTAGTAACAACTCATTGATGCAATTGCTTCTTATGGCGAATGTGATAATTGGCTTCTACAGGCTTAAACACTGCCTTTTCATTGCAACCCTAGTTTTTTTGTTGGATTTTATCAGTCTGAAAAGCAACCACTTAATCAAATCTTATTCTCGAGTTTCTTTACACAATGCAATTATGAATTTTAAGTTTTAGTCTAAATGAACAAACTGAAGTTCTATAATTAGATCGAGTCTTTTCTTGTTGGAGGTTTTTCTAGGATGTAGATATAGAGTTTGAGGTAGAAAGAAGGAAAGAAAGAGGGAGAGCAAGCGGAAACTGGGCTCACGATATTTGATTTCATCAACTTATAACTTCGCATTTTGATGTTATTAAACGTATACTTGTACTGCATGTTGATGGTTTTTTGTTTGTCGAGGTAAAAGAAAGAATGTAGTTGCGACTGTGAAAAGTGGAATAGTTTTTCTTCTAGTCTTGTTAATGTAATTTACTTGTTCACCGTGCATGTGATTATATAGCTTCCTTTTTTGTAGATTTGCACATGTTGTGTGAAATCAACTTGGATAAGGTGCGTGCCTGGAAACCACTTTATCGGACCAAGCAGAACCGAGGTTTGGGATTTCATTTACCTGTGGATAAGAAGCCTGAAGATCAGAAAAGGACTACTTACAGTAAATTAATTGGCATGGAGACTGCAAAGTTGGGTTATGAAGTATATGCAGATGGTGTCACACGAGTTTTGAGAATTTGTGAGTTCTCTGATAGTCAAAAGGTGGATGCTGTGTTCCACACCGGTACAAAAATGAGGCTGAGAATCTCATATTTTGCAATTCACTTGCTAGGACATGCAAAGCAGGTCAAGTTTCATGTCTTATGCTTAAACCGCTATGATATGTTCGACTGTCTGCTCTTAAATGTGAATTTTCTTAATGTTCTTTCGCTGAATGCATTTCTGGAAGTGTTATAATTTCTGAAATCAAATTAGTTTTTAAGCAGTATTATCAGGTCACCTTTTGTAGTTTCCCTAGTCCAAAAACATGTCACTGGCCACATGTATTCGAATCTATAATGTTCCGTCTTTCTTTTGCAATTTGAGACATTTTAATCTATATTATTGCATGTATTGCAATTTAAAACTTAAAGCCTCCACTGAAACTTCTGTGTTTGATATTCAGTGGGTTATTCCTTGAACTGTGCATTATTGTGCTGCGTTTGAACAATACAGGATAAAATCTAATGTTTGAACTCAAGTTTTTTGCCTGCTTTAATACCATGTTACAATGTTAACCACCTCATCTGAAAGTGTGTTAAGAGATGGGTCATATTTATTTACTTGCAATATTTCAAGTTTTTATTTACCTTAGACATCACCTGATTTGTGATATTCTGAAGGAGATGGATCTGGGTGAGCCAGCCAACTATTCACCTATAATTACTACCAGGCTTGATAACATCAACTGGGATTCTATGTTCACTGACCGGTATAAATATAATCAAATCAGAGTAAAGGTAATCCTCTTTGACAATCTTACACATACTTGTTGGCTTGCCTGTGCCCAGTGTGTGCTTGTTACCAAGAACCTGGAATATGTGGATGCAAACATCTTGACATTATTTGATGGATAATGCAGTCATTGACTGTTGATGAAAAGTGGGATGGAGCTCCCTTTGCAGCAATGCTTCGCAGGCACCAATCAGAAAATTCTGACTCAAATGAATGCATCCTTCGTGTTATAATTGTTTTAGTTTCATCCAATTCTCACATTAAACAAGTGAAATACTTGTCCATTGTTCTGCAGGTAATATATAGAGTATAATAGAGCTTTCCCTGTATTTTATCTTTTTAATTGTTCCATGTTCTTTGTTACCAGAATATGGTATATGTGATAAGCTGGCCCGTTATATAATTTAGTAATTGCATGCTGTAATATGTGTCCCTTCATGCATTTTATTACACTGGTTTTTAAACAATGTTGTCTTCGCAGCCACTTGACCTGAAACTTGATGAGGAGACACTAATGAAAATTGTTCCATTTTGGAGAACATCTCTAAGTGATTCGAATACCCCCAGTCAACAGTATTACTTTGATCATTTTGAGATCCACCCGATAAAGGTTTGATTATCCTACTTCTGTGTGTGCTCTTAATTTCTTGACACTCCCGCCTCCCCCCCACCCAACAAATAGAAAAAGAATTTTATGATTTCAGTAACTGCTGTATAGTTCATGTTATCTTTCCACAATGTTAAAGGTCGTGGGGAGCTTTCTTCCTGGGGACTCATATTCCAGCTACAGCTCAACCCAGGAGACTTTGAGGTCTTTACTCCACAGTGTGATTAAGGTCTGAGAGTCATTGCTCGTGAAACAATCCCTCCATCAACTGAGAGATTTTTTGTAATGATATGAGAATATAATCTCTCTCTCCCTCCTCTTCCCCCAAAACAGGTTCCTGCCATTAAAAGTATGACTGTTGAGCTTAATGGGGTCCTTGTCACGCATGCTTTGATAACCTTACGCGAATTAACTATAAAATGTGCACAGCATTATTCATGGTAACCCTTTACAAATGAAGTGTTATTTCCTTATTTTACGTGGTTTGTTTGGGCATTTCCTCAATTTTGCAAAATCTTTACAGGTATGCCATGAGAGCTATGTATATTGCAAAGGGAAGCCCATTGCTTCCACCATCTTTTACTTCTATATTCGATGATCTAGCATCATCTTCTCTTGATGTTTTTTTTGATCCTTCGAGTGGCTTGCCCAATCTTCCTGGCGTTACCATAGGTATCTCCCTCACACTGTATACACGTGCAAAACAAGCATGGGATTGAATAAAATTGTCTTGAGGTTTGCTTATTGGTCATGTTACTTTTGAATGGGCTGTATATTTGTCTTCAGCAACTATGTTGGCTAAGACTCCTGTCGTAAAAGTGAATATTTGACTAACTATGCTCAAGGGCCATTAGTTCATGAGCTTGCACAGATTCTCTTACATACCAAAGAAAAGGGGAAGTCTTTTTCAGTTTTTTACTGGTGAATCACAAGATCAATTCAAATAGACCATGGAAACAGAACTCGAGATATATTAACCAATTTTTATGCTGAAATATTCGTCTTCTCTACTGTTTCACTGGAGTTAGCATGGTTATTCCTCTGTACTATTTAATTTTTATACTAACCTGCTAGAATGATGTCGTCACCATGTATTTCTTGTCCTTAAATTGCAAAATAGGTACGCTCAAGCTCATCAGTAAATTCGTGAATGACAAAGGTTTTTCTGGAACAAAGCGATATTTTGGTGACCTTGGAAAAACTGTGGGTTTAGTCTCCCTTTGAAATTAAAATACTAATTGTTAATTTGCAATTACTGTAACATCCGATACCTTTTTTTCTGTATCAGTTGAAAATGGCAGGATCCAATATAATATTTGCTGCAGTAACTGAAATATCGGACTCTGTTCTTAAGGGGGCAGAGACAAATGGTTTCCATGGAATGGTGATATTCACTTGCATCTAGCTATGTCAAATGTTAATTTACCAGTGTTTCAAGTGTGACTATTTCAAGTTTATAACTTTCTATAGGCGACTGGTTTCCGCCATGGAATTCTTAAGTTGGCAATGGAGCCATCACTACTGGGTAGTGCTTTCATGGAAGGTGGTCCAGATCGGAAAATTAAACTCGACTGCAGTCCTGGAGTTGATGAGGTACTGTCATCTTTCCCTGGGAAGCTAAAATATATTGGTGCATCAGTAACTTTCCCCCCATGATAGTGCAATGAAACAATTTTCCTGGGAGTAATGTGCATGGAATGCAGAAGAGAACTGAAAGTTTTGGTTGAAGACATCGTAACAGAGAGCAACTAATTTTAGTCTTAAACTTAATGTAGTTTAAACTACAGTTCGATTTTTGAGTTCTAATGGCATTTTATATACAGTTAACTATATGTGTTGAATGATGTAGTTATACATTGAGGGATACCTGCAAGCTATGTTAGATGCAATGTATAAACAAGAATACCTTAGGGTGAGAGTAATTGAAAACCAGGTAATTTCCTACTCTGGTAATGACCTTTTCTGCTTGTTATATTATGCACCCAGTGCAATTAGTGTGCAAGTACACACACATACACGTATGCTATGTTTAGATATGTATATATAGTCCATTTCCTCTTGGCCTCTGCTATATTTACCATGACCGAATGATATTCATAACGTTTGACTGATCTTACAGGTAGTTCTCAAAAACCTGCCTCCAAACAGTGCTCTTATAGAAGAGATAACAGAACGTGTAAAGAGCTTTCTTGTAAGTAAAGGGTTGTTGAAGGGAGAGTCTTCAAAAGCTTTGCATTCTCTGCGGCATATACGAGGCGAAAATGTAAGCCTATACTCAATCCCCTGAAATATATTATCTTCGTGTGCTTTGCAAAATTTGTCTGGTCACTTGACTTCTTAAATGGATACTCCTATCTTGTGAGGCATACTTTGAAAAATATACAATGCTTCAAATGCATAAAGACAGAATTCGTGGATCGGAATTGGTCAATTTAGTATGCGTGCCGGTCCATCTTACTCTCAGTCGTAACGTGTAACGTACTTAATAACCCAAGTTTTTATTACAGGAATGGAGAATTGGACCGACGGTTCTGACTTTGTGTGAGCATCTCTTTGTGAGTTTCGTAATTCGTATGTTGAGAAAGCAAGCTGGCAAGGTCATTGCCAACATAAAATGGAAGGAAAAATTGAAGGTAGACGACGCGCAAGCTACTGTCCCGGCATCCAGTGCTGAAGAACCAAAGGTTAAGATCGTGTGGAAATGGGGAATTGGGAAGTTTGTGTTGTCCGGTATAGTTGCATATATCGATGGACGTTTGTGTCGCAATATACCGAATCCTGTAGCAAGAAGGATCGTTAGCGGTTTTTTATTAAGTTTTCTTGATAAAAATGATGAATAGTAGTAATAGAGATTTTATTCAGTCTCTTGTTTAAGGCTGATGTACAGAATTGATGGATTAATTTTGTAGTAGTTAATGTATTCGAGTTCATGTAAATCAATAAATATTGAAGTTTACGAGTCTCGAAACTTCAATATGTAATCAGTCAGTTTATGGACCCACAACCAATCAATTTCTTACGTAGCTATTACTGATGTGGAAATTACACCTATCCCTACATTTGGAGATCCAATTTCTAAAACAAGATTTTATCTTTTTTTTTTCAAAAATCAGAACTTTTTAAAATAGATACAATATTATTATATTTAATTAAATATTATAAAAAATAAATTATATAGGATTTGAAACCCTAAATTTAATTCATTTTCTCACCCTATCCTCTCTCTCTCCACCCTCTCTCCACATCGCCGGACGGTCTTTCCCTCTCCTCTATCCATTGTCGCCGCGGCTTCTCCGGCAGCAGCGTCCTCCTCTCCCCCTCCCTCCCGTCTTCTTCCTCCCCCCTC